GAGAGCTTTTGTTGAGTGCATAACTTGTACATAGACCACAATAATAAAATTATTTTTCTAAAAAATCTCACTCATCTAATAATCATAATGCAAAAATATGAAGGATTAAAAAAGATCCAACAGATGTTAATCATCTACTGTCAGAAGCTCGTAATGTTCGCGCAGTCTAAGCACTTCCTACATACTCCGTACATAATACAGTCGACGTATGCTGTATGCATCTATATACACGTGACGATGCATGCAACTAATATAGCTGCTGTGTCCTGCAATGCAAGGTCGATGGTCGTCTGATGATTCAGAGGCAGCTCGGAGGCAGCACGAGGCCGAGCGTGGTCCCCTGCACGTTCCGGCAGTAGGACTTGGCGGCGGCCCGGTTCTGGTACGTCAGCGCCACGTCCTGCAGGCTGATGCCGCTGCAGGGGTTGCTCCGGCTGCAGTCGAAGTTGACGGCCACCAGCGTCGCCGAGGAGCCCCGGATGCCCACGTACCGCACGTCGCTGATCCTGATGCTGGAGCTCCTGCCGGCGCCGGGGCAGCCGCTGCTGTCGGGGCAGTAGTTCTGGTCGATGATGATGGGGTTGTCGACGCCGGACATGGTGGAGTCCGCGAAGGTGACGCCCGTGACGAAGCCGCGCTTGGAGCCGCCCCACGTCTTGATCCGCAGCCCGTTCATGGTGCCGGTGAACCACGTCGTCTTCACCGTCACGTTCTGCACCGCCTCCACCTCCATGCCCTGCTGCTTTCCCAGGCTCCCAATGCTAATAATAGTTGAACAAGTCACAAAGCAGAGTCGATTTCATCACTATATTAGTGGATGGATTAGGTTAGGTACAAATAAACCCAAACGCCACGCATGCGAGTATATGCAAACTAGAGTATTAAGCGGGCCCAGGTCAGGTCTGTTTCCACTAACGCACTAAAACGTTGCCACCGTCTGACTTGAAGATCTTTCAACTTTCGAGGCCGTTTCAGTCAAACCAGTTTATGGATTGATTTCCATAAACCAGCTCAAACTTCCATTCCCATGCTTTGATTTTCTCGATTTAATTCCTAACGTGGCCATTTCTGCCTCATTCATGCAGACAAATCACCGCGCATCGCGCTGACGCACTGACGACTGACCGAGACGACGACGACGTACCTGATGCCGTGGCCGGGGCCGCAGGCGACGCGCTCGATCCAGAGGTGAGAGTTCCCGGGGCCGACGGAAATGCAGTCGTCGCCTGTGCTGATCCTGGCGTCGTACACCGACACATGGCTGGACATGTGCAGGTGGATCCCGTCGGTGTTGGGGCTGTCCGCCGGCGCCTCCACCGTCACCCCGCGCACCGTCACGCCGTGGCACTGCAGCACCACCACGTGGAACAGCTCGCTGTCCACCGACCGCACGCCGGCCACCACCACGTTCTTCGAGTTGGCGATCGTCAGAGACTGCAAAGCAAGCACGGCGAGCCAAGTTAGCAGGCGCATTACATTAGCTTGTGCTATCGATCGTCAGGTTTCGAGTTTCGACGACGACGACGTACCGACGTGGGGTTCGGACAGTCGCGCTGCCCGCGCCGTCTGCACGCCCAGAGCGCCCTGCCGCGGCCGTCCAGCGTGCCGCCGCCGGAGACGACGAGGCCGTCCATGTTCTCGAACGTGATCCACCGCCCCGACGAGCCGCGCGCGCCGTAGCGCGCGGGGGCGACGACCGTGCCGGCGATGGCGAACGTTACGGCGCGGCTGCGGCACGGGCCGGTGAACGTGGCGCTCCGCACCAGGTACCGGCCGGGCGGCACGTACACGGTGGCCGGGCGGGGCGAGCGGCAGGCGTCCGCCCACGCGCGGAGGAAGGGTCCCGCCGCGTCCGTCGCGCCGTCGGGGCGGGCGCCGTAGCGCAGCACGTTGTACACTGCGACGCCGGCCGGGTCGGGCAGGAACAGGAGGGCGGCGTGCAGGTGCACGAGCAAGCTCAGGACGGGCTTGGCCATGGCCATCTATGTGTGTTCCCGCAGGCTGACAGGTGATAGTTAGGTATGTGTTCGACGATGTGCTAGCTTGTACACGTGTATTTATAGTGTTGGCATCTATCGGCCGCCTCTGGTTAACATGGGGGTAGTAGTATTTGGGAATGAATCAAGTGGGCGAACAAGAGTTTGAGAGCGTGCATCTTCTTCTATCTAGAAAAATAAAGACGGAGGAGAGAATTTGAGAGAGTAATTAAAGTACACCAACGGTTCTTAAATTTGTGGGACTGTGCATCCCTGTTCCTAAACTCGCAAATTGCTAATTTATTATGATGACTATGTTATCCCGGTCCTAAGTGCTCGTTTAGATCATCAAACTTGTTCGACGGCAGGAGGTAAGCAGTCAAGTGCAGGATTTAGAAACCTAACCTGGGAAACGAGACCATTCAGGTTGGTTAGTAAACTTTTACATGCGGCATTGACCATTGGAGGGTGAATAAAGTATGGGTTTGGTGAGTTCTTCGAAACAACTCATGGCAGGCTAGACACTTCCCATGTGTGCATAACCTGTTTCTGCCGAGCCATAGATAGTAGCAGTAGTAGTAGTAGTAATAGTAGCGGCGAGCAAACTCATTGTCTACAACTACAACTGCCATCGTCGCTTTGCATTGCGAGCTAGCTGGAGCTGAATATGGTCACTGAATTGTTGAAGGATGGATGAATTCATAAGCGGTGCAGGGTTGGAAGCTTGGAGCTCACCACAAATAGACGTCAAAGTGAGGCGTATTTCTGGCACTTATGGACAAGTGCAACTATATCAGTCCCATCAGGGCGTATTTCCGCCACCGTCAGCTCACGCAAATTATTGCAGACCATTCGGGGAAAGAGCTCCAGAATTCACAAGAATATAATGGCTGACATCGATCGACATGTGGAGTTTGAAACTGGCTGAACTCTACAGAAATCAAGAAACAAAGCCATTCCTAGACAATTCGTAAATGAGCTCCGTTCGGATGGGCAGCTGCTGCCGGCTGGGCTGGCTGCTCTCCCTCACACGTTACTGTAGCCGACACCTAGGGCCAGCCAGCCGCAACAGCTGAAACCCAGCAGCTGCATTTGGAATCAAGATTGGAGGCTCAGGCAATTTGGTTTCATCGACCTTGCTTTCTACTACTACCATCGGCAAAAACCGGCTACAGGACAATTCATCTTTTGACTATCTGAAACGACCCTCGTGGAAATGCAGGTAGAAACTAGGAGCATGCTTTATTTATCATAGAACTAGCAGTCCAATGACCTAGCAGGCTAGTACGAGTGTTGGGTTGGTCATGTGACTGTTGCAGGATAGCAAATTTGACTACTCTCAGCTAGCAGTGGTGGGTTGGGCACATCCCAACCCAGCCTAGGCACACGTTCGAGCTCCTTCAAATTCAACAACTACTTCGGTCAAGCAAACAAGACCTTGGTTTGGCTTCGCTGTTCACCAAAACCGATCACCATCACCTACTGTGTGATCATGGCGGACCTTTTTGACACCATCTTTCAACATATACTGGAAAACGCAGAGTATTATTTGCTAATTGCGCTAACTATAAATGTAGCGTCAAAGGTTTAACCAGTAATGGGCCAGGTAGCAGTACGATCCAGTCTTAGCCTCATGTGCCAAGTCAGCCCAACTTTGTGCAATAATAATATCTCGGCCCAAAATGAGATAGCCGATTAACTCAGTCCAAGTTCGTGCGTGCCGTGACCCGTGACAGTGTGCGCACTCTGTCACACTGTCAAAAAAAAAATTAAAAAAAAAACACGGCCAGCAGGTCATTCACAACAATTTCTTACGCACCCTTTTCATGTTTCATATACTAGCAGCACGTAAATTGCGTATATCAACTCCTCAAGAATGGCTTACCTCCGCTATGGAGGAGCTAGCTTCAATCCTTGCTGTTACGTTAGAAAGAGGTTCTGCTCGGATGTGACATCTCGACCCTGCTTATTGCATAGCCATGCTCCAAGCCAGCACCACCTGATGGGAAGAAGAAGAACCAGATACAGATACCTTAGTCCGTTCTTGCAAGCTACAGTATTTGTTTTCGAACTGTTAGACAGAAATTAATGGCATTTTGTCTGCATGCGCCATCATTATACAATTAACCAGCAGCTTTCGAAAAAGAAGATTAAACCAATAGTGAGGGGGGAAGGCCAAAAACTAAGTGAGCGCAGCAACGTGACGCTTCGGTGGACAGTGAAAACGGGCAACAGCTTGTGATCAACCTACCAACCAGATCCTTGTCACGCTTTTTTACTAGCCACAACCCGCGGCACCTCCCCGCTCCCGCCATCTGGCCAGCACCTCCGGTTCATATTGTGAAACAAAAAAATATTAGCACGGAAAAGCAGAACGTGCCCGTTTATGCACGTACAATATTTATCAAGAAATGTATGCACAGCATTTGTGTAATAGAATTATTATATATACACTACTACTACTATACTACATAGCGAAAACACTGGTCCTGTATATGGAGCAGAGTTGCTACCAAAATTAGCAGCATCTGTGAGCTGAGCTGACTGCCTGCCCATCCGTACCTGATTTGGGTCACCCATCCGTACCTGATTTGGGTCACCCAAGTGCACCAGACCAGGGCCTGTGCATGCCTTTTCTTCCCTCCATCTAACCACTCCTTGACCCCGGTTTGCAATGTCAAGCTGCCGCTCCTCCTCATATACCTCCTCGTCGCTCGTCTCTGTCCTAAGATAGGAATCAAATAATCTTTCCATTGGTTCTCTTCCAAACAGGTGTAGGAAGAGAGAGAGAAAAAGGTACTTGTCTCGCGCTTTCAGATTGCTGCGTTCTTCCTCGCAACTTCTCATTTCCCATCATTTCTTTTTCTCTGAGGTGAGGCTGGGCCTTCGAGCTCGCCAGGAAAAGATTGTGTCACCTGTAGTAGCTGCGGGATGCCTGTCAAAACTCACAACTCATTGATTCTTTTCTTACTCTACTAGGTGTTTGCGGTTTCTGTAGAGAAGGATACGAACCACACTGCAAAGATGGCACTGGCTCTGAGGCTGCTTCTTGCATTTCTGGTGATCGGATCCTGCATCGCTGCTGACAATATCGACTTGTGGCCGATGCCACAGTCGGTGTCCCATGGAACACAGAAGCTCTACATCAAGAAAGATATCACAATGTCAATGGTGGGAAGCACGTATTCTGATGAGAAATCAATCTTGAAGGACGCCTTCCAGAGGATGGTTGATTTGATCACACTAAACCATGTCGTTGATGGAATAAACCCAAGTTCTTCGGTTCTCACTTGTGTTAATATAGTTGTCCATACACCTGAAGATGAGGTAATCTGCTCGCTTGATCCGATATTTTTATTAGTTCATACAGATTGCAACATCTGTTTATGTTGATACTTTTACTTCAAAAAAAAATGTTGATACTTTGCACTCGTCATCTTCTGTAGCTTAGCTTTGGGGCAGATGAGTCATATAACTTAACTGTTCCAACAACAGGAGATCCACTGTATGCACAGATCGAGGTTAGTAAAGAGTTCAATGTATAGTTGCATTGTCTAAAAATACATTAGAAGCTTACTCCTATTCCCTCCTTGAAGATGAATTCAGAACTTATTTGCACCATGCAAGCCTTCAGAGTATTTTGTAGCATCTAGCACGCATAATGTCGTCCTAAACCCTCCTAAATAGACCTTTCCCTATTAAATTTCTGAAATACAAATTAACATAATACACCAGATGGACGCTTACAAGAAAAACACAAGTTATGTCTGTAAATAAGTATCATGTAATGTCAACTCCGCTATGAAATGTAAACTCCACAACATATCTATGTTCTACGTGTTATGACATGGGGATTGGGATAAGCTGTAGGTTGCAAGAGTCAAGAGAAAGTGAAACAAATGCAGAAATCGCACTTAGCATTTACTATATACACAATGCAAGGCCCTTCAATAGGTATGTATTGATGACCCCTTACAATATTTTGTAGGCTCAAACAGTTTTTGGAGCACTTCAAGCCTTGCAGGTAATTACTTCATGTGGTTCATAGAGTTACAAGCAATAAGTGTAAGAAAGATGCCTCACAATCATGCAGTCCAACACTAGTTTTTCTAATCAATGCAGACGTTTGGTCAGTTATGTTACTTTGATTTTACATCACGGCTCATTGAACTCAACTCTGCTCCTTGGATAATTACCGACAGACCCAGATTTCCTTACCGGGGATTGCTTATTGGTTAGAACCAGCATTTCCACCTTTTACACATATCAAATGTCAACAATGTGGACGTCCTGTGAGTGATCACAACACCATTAATTTAAGCTTACTTGCAGATACCGCGAGACACTACCTCCCTGTTAAGATAATCAAAGGAGTGATTGATGCAATGGCTTACAGCAAATTGGTAAGTTTGATATTTTGAATTTGCATTAAATTTTAATTGCTTGACCCATAAGTTACAAAAAAGGTTTGAATTTTTATTTTAACTGTCTATGCTCGCTAAATAGTTTCTTATTTGTTACTTGTTTTATTTCTTTTGTCACACAGAATGTTCTCCACTGGCATATCGTGGACGAGCAGTCATTTCCCATTGAAATACCTTCATACCCCAAATTGTGGAACGGTTCATACTCTTATTCAGAGAGATATACAATGTCTGATGCTATTGACATTGTACGGTGCGTTCTATTTTCATTATCAATATCACAAAACTTTACAATACCAATATTATACAAGCATTGAAAATTTGGAGGTAACTGCCTTCAAAACGATGGAAACTAAAAGAAACTTCACTGAGAGTGAGTATATTGGTCAAATTGCACTTTGCAGGTATGCTGAAAAGCGAGGTGTAAATGTGTTGGCTGAGATTGATGTTCCTGGCCATGCCCGCTCATGGTAAGAAATTTCATTATGTTCTAAAGTCCAATGTGTTTCAAAATTACAGGAAATCATTTGGAGGGCAAAACCATTTTTTATTGAAGTTATTAAAATTAATCTGTAAGATTTCACAAGTGCAATTTGACTAATATGACAAAATGCAAGGCTGGAATTGTGAAAATTATACCTTTCAGGGGTGTCGGCTACCCATCATTATGGCCCTCAGAAAGCTGCAGAGAACCACTTGATGTCAGTAAAAACTTTACATTTGAAGTCATCGATGGCATTCTTTCAGGTGGTACATCTTAACGATTTTGTTGACAAAATTGAAGTCGCTCCTAAGCTAGTTATTTCAAATGATCACTATTCTGTGGGAATGGCATGAAAGATAAAGCTATTATGAATTGGGAACGCCTATAATGGACAGATTATATGCATTGAATCACTAATTCACTATTGGAAAAAAGTAAATATCCTAGTATTCTACACAGCAGTCTAACAGAGTTCACAATTTATGTTATCTTTCAGATTTTAGCAAGATTTTTAAGTTCAAATTTGTCCACTTAGGCGGTGATGAAGTCAATACAAGTAAGAACAACAATTGCATTTACAACTGATATAGTGCAGTGACCAAACAATAGATCTATCGATCACACATTCATTCTTTTCTCTGAATTTCAGGCTGCTGGACCACAACACCCCATATTGAAGGATGGTATATTTCTATGCGCTAAGTGAAATTACAATTTCACAACTAACCTGATGTTTTTATGACTATATGCATAAGTAGAAAATAAATTGGTCATGTTCTTGTACCAGTCAATTAATTCAAGACAATCCTTTTATAGGTTGAAAATAACCATATGAACGTATCAGACGCATACAGAGATTTTGTATTAAGATCTCAAAAGATAGCGATATCACATGGCTACGACATCATAAACTGGTACCCCCTATTCGACAATTTTGCCAGGTTCCAGTAAGTTACTAGCCATTAAAAATTTAACAGACAATGTTTCATGCTTACAGGGAAGAGACATTTAACAGTTTTGGAGACAAATTGGACCCAAAAACCGTGGTGCATAACTGGTATTTACTCACTTTCTACTTAATTTATGACATGGGGAAGGTTTTACTTGCATCGATAGCACAATGACTCCCAGTTTCACACGATGCTCGCCCTGGAGTTTACAGTTGTTCAGAACATGAAGGGGCATAACATTTCAGGGTTATACATATTCAGTGAAATAAAGGGTTTAAATAAAATGGAAAACAAGACCAAACTTGGAGGAACCAGCTTTATATTAAGAAGAAATTAATTAATTAAAGGGTTTTAGATTCAGTTAACATTTTCATGCAATTTGTACTCCTAAGTTCATCCTGGCTCTTCTTCCTGCTACCAATAGTTAACTGTTAGCAATTTTGCCCATAAATTAATAGGCTTGGAAGATGTAGCACCCAAAGTGGTTGCTGCAGGGCATAGGTGTATAGTAAGCAACCAGGATAAGTGGTACCTGGATCACTTGGATGCCTCATGGGAAGGATTTTACATGAATGAGCCCCTAAAAGGTATCAATGATACAAAGCAGCAGCAATTGGTCATTGGTGGTGAGGTTTGCATGTGGGGTGAGGAAATTGATGCCTCAGACATTCAGCAAACAATTTGGCCACGTGCTGCAGCAGCTGCAGGTAACTGACTGAAAAGGTTGAGTGTCCTGATTAATGCCTGATATATTTCAAATTTAATGGATAAAACATTATCCAAACCAGAGTCTTAATTGCAAGCTATAATCACCTATATTATTTAGGGGACATAAATATAGTGTGACACAGTACTTCAATCAGTTAACTTTGAGCAGAAATATGGTATGCTTTGAATGATAAAATTCCACCCAGTATATACATCTTCAATATTCATGTTCTCATATAGTATAGTAAGATGTCATAAAAAATCCTAGCATAAAAGGTTAAATATGCATGCTCACTGCTCAGATATGACATTGTTTTATTATAAAGAAGAGCATACTGCATAGAATAAATTCTCAAAGGCACGCACAATTTAGCATGTTGCTGAACAATGATAGATGACTGCTTTCATAATTTCAGTAGATTCTGTATAGCGATTGAGTTGATGTACACCAAAATATTATTTAAGGGCATGATCCACACTAACAGAAGCAGAGTTTACAAGCAACCTTGTAATCTATGGTAGTATGAAATTTGTATGCCACTCACAAATACTCATCTGCCATGCCAAGGAATGCATGGTTGCACTGCCATCTGTATGAACGATTTTTGACTCACCAATCCTCTTACATTGCATATCCTTGAAGAGAGACTGTGGACTCCGATTGAGAAGCATGCAAATGACACAAGATTTGTTACATCAAGATTGGCGCGCTTCAGATGTTTGCTCAACCAAAGAGGAGTAGCTGCTGCACCATTAGCAGGGTATGGTCGTGCATCACCATCAGAACCTGGCCCCTGTGTAAGGCAATAAATGTCCATAACTAAATGGAAAGGGGTATTCACGGAGGAAAACCTGCCGTTCCTTGACAGAAAAGGATTCGCTCTTACCCCTGTTATACATTCAGCAGAGTGTATGTCAGATAGTTGGTTTAGGGTTGTGTAGAATGTTTCATGTCCTTTTTTGCTCCTCTCCAATCCAATTTCCTCCCGCAATAATTTGGATGCCTATGAAATCTATATGGTATGGTAATGAAATGTAATAGCTTCATACAGGGTTCACCAATTAGTTGTCTTCCCCCCCCCCACCCCCCCACCCCACCACCACCACCACCCCCACCACACACACACACACACACACACACACACACAAAAAAAATAACTCACCTCAGAAAACCTGTTTCCAGTCAAAATAAATTTTAACGCAAACAATCAGCATATGTGTTGCACATGATCATACTAAAATTGAGGGACGCCTCACTGCAAACGCAAAGATCATTATACTTATAGAAAAGTCACCCAATATAAGACAAAAATAATAACTTTTCCTTGCATATGAGCATACTTAAATTCTAGGACATTTATACTGCCAACAAAATAACCACATACTTCTCTACAAATCATGGAAATTTTCATCATAAAATGGAAGCGCATTTGAGTGCACATCAATCATATGAAGAATATCGGTATTTATGGTTCAAACAAATGTTCTATTTATCTGCAGCCATGAAATTCCACCGTTCACAAATTTCTAAACTAGGACAGGTTGAGACATACTACCAGTACCAGACATGCTAGTACTTGGTTCCCCATCTTGCTGGCTACATTCATCAGGTTCTTTACCAGATAATTTCTGAAATTTCTCAAAGCATTCCTCCATCCCTGGTATATACAGCTTCATTCTGTCAAAATGCCGAGCAAGATCTAGACCCATCTTCATCCATTTTTTAGCAACAGAATGTTGCCCAAGCCGCACAGGTAAATATGACTTGTTCCATGCAGTTATTGCAAGCCACCTCCCTTCCTCAAATGGATATTCACCATCTCTAAGTCCAACCACAATCTGGTAAGCTTGTTGAAATACATCATAGGCTGCATCACCATGCTACCACTGAAATCCTGGAGACCAGAAAGGCATACTAGTTTTCTGAGGGCAGCACTGATTACCCCATAGTTTGGCGAGTGAGAGGCAAGGGCAGTACTGATGCTGGCCTTCAGGAGAAACTCAGCTACCTGGAGGTTTGGTTGGGTGCCTTCAGAAGCCATGTCTCCAAGTATGAGAAGATGACCTGGTGTACATGCTTTAGATGCTGCAAAGCTCTTGACTAATTGGAGCTGCTGAGGGTGTGCGCTAGTGTCCAGTCTATTGAGAAGCTGGTAGAAGTTGAATGTATGAAGAAAGGGCAGGTTGTTCTCCAATTGATCAGAGATCACCGGAGCCGAAGGCAGAGTCAAGGGTAATAGCTGCAAATCAGTACAAACGAATCAAAAGAATGTCCAAGAAAAACAAATCCAAACACACTGGTATCAGCAACTCTTGATAATTGGCAAGCTCCATGTTTACCTTGCCAGCCCTTCTGAGCATCTCAATGCCCTTTTTAAGGTCAGAGTCTGACAATGGAGACTTGTTTAGTTCTTCAGCCTGGAGCATGCAACTGACACTCATGATCAATGATTTGCAAATCAAGAGAAGGTTAGCATCATCTTCCCCATTACCAGAGCTGAAAAATTCAGCTGCAAGCTCAAAGAATTCAGAGGAATAATCATACTTCTTCTCTTTTACCACCTTTAAAGCCATATTCCATGAACTGACAGCAAACCAATTCAGTTCACGCAGCCCTACAGTCCCCTTTCCCAAAAAGTTTCCACACCAAGCTCATCCATCCGTAGCTTGGCACGTCTTGAGTACTTCAGAATCTCAGCCTCAGATCCTGGCTCACGAAGGAGGAGGGCTATCAGGTTGCGGAGGACAGTGGCCTCGCTCATTGGCAATGGCTTTCCAGCAGAGTAGAGGCCTAGAAGGAAGGTTAACGAAGCAACTGCCACACGGAAAGACTTGCAGACGATAGCTTCATGAATCGAGAGCGCCAGGAAGTGAGGGTTGAAGTCAACATAGCCCACCATGGTCTTCATCAGCTTGATAGCCTCATCATCCTCCTTCTTGTGCAGAAGGATCTTAAACTAGAAAATGCATATGTATTAGTAAAAAAGTGCTAAAACTAAAATGGAACCCTGTAAAACTGACAGCATGTACAGAGCATTACCTTCAGAAAGGCACAGTGGATATTGGGTTCAACCTACAGGTATGCATTGATTCAAGCATAAGAAAGCATCACACAATATCATCTAACAAGGCAACGGGGAGAAAGATCAATACCTTTTCAGCCTCAGTTATGAACTCTTGGGCTCGATCAAGATGACGGTGCTATATGGCAAAGGCAAAGTACTCGGAAGCATTTTGCACGGCGGGATCTGCTTTCCTCGTCACGGGAAACATAAAGCATCGACCTCTCAATCAAATCCGCACAGATCTCGCAGTTGTTTGCATGGAAATGCTCAGAGCCACTGTCCAAAATTACAAATGCCAGCTTCAGTAGGTGCACACATTTTCTTACGAAGTACTACTGTATATGAGTTCAGTAGTGTAAGAGAATACAAACCATGTCCATAGCAGTGCATGCATTGTGTCACGCTCATGGGTGTTAGCAGGGCCATTGAACAGCGCAACCACCCTCTCATCTGACACGAGCTCAGCAATCGCTCTTGCACGCCCAGCCCCGCCGCCTGCACCCTGAACCACCGTTTTCAACACCCTCACTGCAGCAGCTGCAGCACTGGCGTGGCACCGTGCGGCAAGTGCAACAAGCACCTTAAGTGCAGCATCCAGCCCCGCACTGGCTAGGTACAGCTCGGCTGCCGACACGCACAAGAATTCGCGCTTCCTCATTGGCCATGAGCCTACCGAGCTCCCTCTCGGCGTCCACCAATTTACCGCTGCTGAGACACGCACGCAGCGCCATGAACGCAATGCTGGAGTGCTCCTTCCCCAGCCCTGGTGAGGCTCTCGAGACCCTGGTACAGTGCAGGGTGCCCTCGTAGTCGTTGGCTTCGAGACGCTCGGCGGCGAGGAAGCGGAGGCATTGATCCTTAATCACTTGGAGCTTTGGGGTTGCAGGAGTGGATCTCGGGGTCGTCGGAGTGTCGCAGCTGGGGGAGGCCGCGGCCTTCTCGCAGAGATCAAGCGCTTCGGTTAGGAGGGTCGACGCGTCGATGGCGGGATCCGGGGATTTTGTGGCGAAAGCAGCCTTGCCAAGGAGGAGGTACGCCTCGGCGAGGGCTTTGACCCCCTCAGAAGACGCCGCGGCGAGGGGCTTGGACCGGCTTAGCAACGCGACGGCGAGGGCGTGCTTGCCCTGATTCGACGCCGCGCGCGCGCGCGCGAGGTTGAGGTCCAGCAGGATGTCCCGATCCTCCTCCGTGTCAACTGCGCAGACCAGCGGCGTGGCCTTCTCGAAGCAGGCGGAAGCGAGGTCGGCGCGGCCGAGGTCAAGCCAGACCAGGCCAGTGCGGTGGAAAAGGGACGCCGCCTTCACAGTGGCGTTGGGGACGCCTACCGGGAGGCCGGCGATGAGGAGGAGCTCCGGCGCCGCCTGCCGGATCTCCGTCTCCGCGACCGCGGCCTCGGGTCCCCTCTCAGGGAAGTTGTGGTTGGCGCGGTCGACGCACGCGTTCCAGAGGCGGAAGGCGAGGTTCCATACCTTGAGCCTGAACGCTCCGTTGAGGCCCGAGGAGGAGGACGAAGTGGCGGATGCGAGGTTGGTGAGGAGGCAGCGGAGATCGGCAGCGAGCTTCTCCAGGGAAGAGGAATCGGAGGCGTCGAGCGCCTCGACGTCGGCGACGATCCTGTTGAGGTCGGTGAGGAGGGCGGCGTGCGGCGGCGGCGGCCGGTACTCGGGGGAGAGCTGGGAGATCCGGTACTCGGGGGAGAGCTCGGAGATCTTCATGGGGTTTAGGATTCGGCAGCTTCCGATCGAATTGAGTGGTGATTTCGAGCGAGAAGGGAGGCTAGGTGTGGGGGTGGCGGCAGTGGAGGCTGGAGAAGGAATTCCAGGACGGCAAATTGGGGGAGGGGGGAGAATTCGAATTTTGAAGTGGTTGCCGACTGCTGGTGCCGGCTCCGTTTTTATACCGGGAGCATTCTGGAAGATATTCTCCACCTAAAAATGCTTCCAAATTCCAGAGCCAAATTCGAATACTGAACGGACGAACTGGTTGCATCAATATTCTCCACTTAAAAATGCTTCCAAATTCCAGAGCCAAATTCACTCAATTCACTAGTGTTTTACTGGCTGCATCAACGTTTTGACGCTTTGCTTTTTTTTTTTTGGACGAACGACACTGTTTCTATTGGTATAGAAAAAAAAAATTAGGACAAGACGACTAAAAAGAAACTAAGGACCCGTTTGGTAGGGCTCCAGATTCTCGCAGAAACATTTCAAATTCAGATTCTTTCAAAAAACGTTTCTGACGATGAATCGAAATCACTTTATAAAATCGTTTGGCTAGCGTTTTGGATTCTGATTAAAAAATCATTTAAATAAAAATATGTTCAAAAAAATCTAAACTTTTTTGTGGATGGAGAACAACTTAAATAAAAACAATTTTAACTTTTTGCACTAAAAAGAATTAACTAAAAAAATGAAACAAAAAAAAGCAAGAAGCAATGAGATGATGTGCGAAACTAGCCTCCAGCCGTTTCACATGTGTACATAGAAATGGTAAAACATTTGAAAGTGATTCTGGTGATTCTCGTGAGAAACTGAAACGTTTCTCCTATCAAAAGAGGCCTTAAAAAACAAACCATCAAAGAAGACCAAACAGTCAAAAACCGAACTGGCCGCAGCTAAGTGTTACCGACCACCGCTAGGCGCTAGACCATGAAGAAGCCACAAATGCTCTTCCAAATACACAATGGCCAACCACACACTGCTACTGTGCTACACTTGCTAATCGCTCCGTGCAAATCTTTGTAGAAACCATCCTGGGTCTCGTTGACGAATAAAATATGATAGTATATCACTCAAATCTAACCAAAAATAAACTTGTCCAATTAAGAATGGACACTGATTTAAAAGCTGAGTCTCATTTGCAAATAAAATGTGATAGTGTACCACTCAAATCTAACAAAAATAAGCATGTGCAACTAAGAATTGAATTGTGATTTCAAAGCACTAATGTAAAAGGGAATCGGTGTCTGCTGAAACATGTGCAACTAAGGGCATGTTTGGCGTAGCTCCATGGGTGTAAGTGCATCTAGCCACTGAGTGGCTTTTGGTAAATTGAATAACAACACCATTAAAGGTCTAACAAGTTTGTTAAGTATTGAACACAAAATTTAGTTTATTGTATACACTTGTGGATTGCGGAATAAAAAGTGTATATAGGTTCAACAACAAGGCAAACTTGATGATATTCCACATAATGTTCAAATCAAGGCCAAAATTATGTATCGTTGTGTTGGAAGATCATGAAAACAATATAGCTCAAGAGAAAGACAACAATACAAAATGAGTTGATGAAATGGCTTCTATGTTGTGGGATATCATAGTATCATGAGAAAGCAAGCATATTTGGCAAATGGTAAATGAGACATGAGTTGATGATTTTGGATTGGTCTTAATAATGGTTTGCTTTGCATGAACAAGAAGAATTTGATAGTGGATTAGCTTTGATCAAGGATTGAAGAATGAGTCAAGAGTGCATAAGTGAAGAAATACCAAGCAAAGGTTTAATGACAAAGGACACAACTCATATTGGATATAAGTCGATCTCTATATTGGTTTGCTTGTATGGATAAAGATTTGGAAAATCACTTTGCATTAATATGATCAAGCTAGAAGTATAAAGATAGAGATTGAAGTGAGTGTTAGGAATGTCGTGCCAAAATAAAGAGGATATAAGGAATCGTAAATTGGCTTGACCACATTGATGTTGATCCATATATGTCTCTATGTGAGTCTAACTGAAGCTTGATTGATCTGAACTTTCATATCTAGAAGATATTCAAGCAATGATTACAATATTGAAGAAATGGTTTTTCAATGGATGCTTAGTATGATATGACTTGAGTATGGCTTGATAAGGTGAAGATAGTAAGAAAAAGGCTTCGAGGGACTAAGTGGAGGTGAAGGGCAAGCGATGGCTTGAGGACCGAGGTACCATGGCTAAGGTGAAGAAGAGAGTACTTGCATTAAGTCGAGGAACTAATCAAGCTATGTGGAGTCATATTGTGTTGAGGATCAAATCATTAGTGGAAGTGACTTTAAGCAGTGGATTGAACTCACATGTGTTGGAAAGATTCAAGTCACAAGCTCAACATGTGTTTGCTCGAAGAGATGAGACAAAGATAATTGCAAACCTTTATGAAATAATATTGGGTAAGAGGACAATACGTTCGATGGTGGAGCCCCCAATTACAAAAGGAAGCGGCAACCGGCTCAAAGGCATTTCTAATTCATTTATTTATATATTGAAATTGAGTTTAAGAAAAGTCGTACTATAAAGAGGAATACAATGCATAAGCTTAAATTTGCAAACAAGTGCTCAAAGGTTCTCCACCAAAATATCCTCAAAACTTAGCCACTGCAGCAAGCTTTTCACTCTTCGCCAAATTGGTTGTCTGGTTTGAGCGGCACTGCCGTGACTTAAAAGTTACCGTTGGACATAAAGTGGTATGTCTATCTCCTTCCTACTTTCCCCAACGGTCATCTCGGCCATTCCCTCCCCAAGTGCAACCTGAGTAGCTCTCTCTTTCTCCCTCACTCACCATTGGAGCTCCTCAAGCTTCTCCATTGCTTCCCTTACAAATCCATGAGAGTTTGAGCCTCCAAACTGCATTAGAGAGCTCACCAATCTGCTCTTCATCTCCTAGAGCACTTGGTTCATGTTCAAGCCAGTGGATTATGTTTGTTACTCTTGGAGCTTGCTCCTACCCGGCTAGAGCATCGCCCGTGGAGCTTGCCAACTTGTGTGGCAGCCTCGGGAGGTTTGTAATCACTACAATCATATAGTGAAATCACCCCTTATGGGGGACCAATACTAGGGTATCCGAAGAGGAGGAGCTAATGATTAATAACATTGATTCATCCGAGTAGTCAAGACCGTGACTACAGCTCCAACCGACCCCCAGTTGCACAGGTTCCGCCTCACCCGACCACTAGGGGTGGGCCTTGCCTCACCCGACCTCTGGGGGCGGGCCCTGCCTCGCCCGACCTCTGGGTCGGGGGCTCCACCTCACTCGGCCTCTAGGGGTGGGCCCTGCCTCGCCCGGCCTTTGGGGGAGGGCAATGCCTTGCCCGACCTCTGGGGGCGGGCCCCGCCTCGCCCAACCTTTGGGTCGGGGGCTCCGCCTCGCTCGGCCTCTAGGGGTGGGCTCCGCCTCGCCCAGCCTCTGGGTCGAGGGGCCCGCCTCGCCCGACCCCTCAGGCGTGGCTCCTGACGGAAGCCCGTACCGCCGCCAACCACTATGGACCAGAAAGTACAACCTAAGGTCAAACTTCTGGCACCGTGCAGGGAGCAGGCACATCTCAACATGACCCATGCCCACGACATGTCACTCTAGGAAACTCACATCACCAATAGTGATGGACGCGTGGTCACTATGTTGCCTACTCCTCAGATCGCCACCGACCAAAGACGCCTGGGTTCACCGCGTCCGCCCACCGTAATCTTAATGGGACGTCATGACTGGCCGACAACGCCAGGCATGGCATCACAGAATAGGCGCCGGCTGTGGAGCCATCTCTATCACCATCTCAGTGTCGGTGGGGACCATATAAAGGAGAAGAAGAAAGGCCTGGTGGTCCTAGAAGCCTTCCTCTCCTTGGCTCTTCTCCCTCTTTCTCTCTGTAACTCCGCTCTTCCCCTTCGCTATAAAAAGGGGAAGCAGGGGCCTTGAGAGGGGGGGACGGCGGTTCACCACTCTACACTACTGAGACATCAAAATACATGCCCTAACACGCCTTAGGAGCACATGCACATCGTAGACTTGGGACTCTATCCTCTCTCGCTTGCTTTGTAACCCCTACTACAAACTTTCAAAGGTTAGTAACAACAAAGCGAATATGAACTGGACGAGGAACTTTACGCCCGAACCAAGATAAACCTCGTGTCCTCTAAGCACACCATCCGGCCGACACGTAATACTAGAAATTTACTAGTTGGTAACTCAAAACATCGATACTTAGGCACATCGGTAGAGGCTTTTTGCGTGTCTCGACATCATCACCAAAGCTTCGAATGGCCAACCACGGCATTAGCTGGTTCTCGGGCGCACGCGGCGCTTTGGAAACCTAGACTCCGGCCATCACGGTGGAGAGAGAGTCTGCATAGGCTCCCGCCACCACCCGCCTTAAATCACTCCACCACCTCGACACGATCGATGAGGCATTCGAGGAGCTATGGCTGCACACACCAGAGGCTCACGCCCCTGGGAGCGACTAGCTCCTTGACTTCAACTACAAGAGGCTTGAGAGCCAGCTCGCTGCCTTCCTAGGACCCCGACCATCCTGGGATGGCATGCGCTGCCTCGCCCTCTCCTTGATAGAATCACCTAATTTATATAAGATCAAGTACAATTTGCCCCCGCTAACACGTTGACACGCTGCATACTTTCACTTATATAAACCCGGTAGTCCGCCGAGTGTCACGCAGACCTCGGTAAATCAACATCACAACCAAGATCATGATTAAGCAAATACACATCACATAATGAGTTGCAAATGAAATAATATTACAAATGGTTTCACAAATAATAGTATAAGTTTGGGTTTCAAAACCGATTAGTGAAAACAACATTTGCTTTCAAAGGATTACATTAATATAAGTTCCAAATACGCTGCTAGCATAAGTGACATCCTCGCACAAAAGCATGTAGATGAGAAGTAAATATAGAGTCACCGAGCCCACGGCTGGTTAGCCACCATCTTGAAGAGTGAAACCTCAC